TGAAGGCAGGTGTTCGGGAGTAGATAGGGGCGTGATTGGCAGTCAAATTTGACTTAAAAATCTAACTCAAATTCGATTTCATTCACATGAAAAGGTAGACATGGCATCAATTTGGCCAGACTGTGACCTTCAGCCAACCTTTTTTTTAAGTTTGTTTGTTTGGTTGGTTGTTTGTGAGCAGACTACTCAGTACAGGTCCGAGCTGAAAACCATCCGGGGGGATTTCACGTCGTAACCGCCTTTTGTTCCGTCGTCACACCCCCACGATTCTCTCACGGACTTCCAGACATCTAGAAATGCAAGAAAAAACAACAAATGATGAGTCGATGAAGGTTAGACATCCAGGTAATAAGATACGCCAAAAATGCCCTGATGAAGATGACAAACTGTCATCGAAACATCGGCTCGTAAAAATTAACGAATGGTTGTGATCAAAGAACTTGCTATTCGTTCGTTTACCAACCTGATAAATTATAACACACCTCTGAAAAGAGAAGACAGCTGTTCCTTGAGAGATCCCTTCGGTATTTTGTCGGCGGTTCGTTCTACCCTGCTCCCCCCGACATAAATGGCACGTTCCGTCACTACTGGCAACGAGTTGAACACCATCTCTCCTGTTTTCGTCTTTCGTGGATTCTGAGGAACAGAACAGAATTTGAATTAAATTTGAGTCACATTTGACTGCCGACTACGCGCCGACCGCTGTCGACTTACTCCCAACCACCCAACCGTGGGCCAACCTCCCATCCACAGCTGAATGTCTTAAACATTTTGAAACATTAAGTTGGCGTAGCCGAACTATAGCCCGACCTCGCCCGAACACCAGCCGACCACAGCCGACCTTGCTCCCGATCTACTCCCAACCACGGTTGGGAGAGTTTGGCAGTGTTGGGGAGGCCATATTCGGCTATGTGTGACAGGGGCTTTATCGTTATGGCATTAACTACATGTACCCTTCGCATCTCAATTTCCAATATCTAAACATTCTCTAATGTGTAAAATATGATATTGGAACAGACAAGTCTCCAATGACTATCTGGGGAGTTTCATAGATAAGATAAGAAAACATAGTAATTTTCTGTTATTAGCGCTTGTAAACATGGTGTTTATTGCCGATAATTTGTTCTATACCTCTTATTTCTAAGTAGTTTTAAAGAAGCCCT